TTTTTTTTTTTTTTTTTAATTGAGATTTGAGAAGGACCAATATGCACCTAGATTGAAGGTTTGAAGAATTTAAAATGAAAATAAATTTATTGGGGACTCAAGTGATATTTTAGTGAATATATGGGATCTCAAGTGCTATTCTTGTCGATTTATAGGGACTCTAGTTGCAAATCCGCTTGTCTACGTTTTTACGTTTCACGGTTGAAATTTCTTTGAGTATGCTTTTAATTGACAATAATTTTTTTTTTTAATAGAAAATTTATTTTTATCCAAGTTTCTGTTTTGAGATATTTGACTGATTTTTTATTATAGAAAATATTTTTCTAATTTTGATCGTGTAACAATGTTTCCTTAAAATTACGAAAAATATTTTAGTTAGGAGAAGTTAAATTTTATTTGTTAGGTAACTCAAACTTTCCAAAATTCTAATTGATCAACTCTTCTATTTACTCACAATACCTTCTCTCTCTCATCTCTACGCATGTATAAAATCATTACCATCTCTCGTTAACTCTCACAGCGGAACCAGGAAGAAGAAACCAAACAACCAACGAATCACTGCTTCCATATCCGCCTCCAGATTATTCACTTCAAAAGGTCGGCAACGAGGTTTTGATAGTATCGATTAAGGTTTGTTTAACAATCAAACCACCTTGTTTGATTTGTTCATGTTTATACTTCTTGGTTAGATTGAGTACATATGATACTTTTTTAATCAATGTAGCCGTTTCTCATTGCTTAACAATTGGTTGTTCTTTTGATTGGTACCTCATTATTTCAATTAGTAGATTCCAATTTTTTTGAGAAGCGGAAACATGAGAAGGTGGGAATTCACTGATTTGAAACTTAAGCGATTCAACACATTAGATATGGGCTTTTTTTCGGTTAATAGTTACTGTTGTGATTGGTGGGAATTTACTGGTTTGAGTCGCCTTTCGAGAATCCTGAAATTGAGAGGTGCGGGTGTGTTTGACATACAGAGAATCCTGAAATTGAGAGGTGCGGGTGTGTTTGAAATACAGAGAATCCTGAAATTGAAAGGGGTTATTTAAGGACTGGTTTTCATTTTTTCAGATTCAGCAACTGCGGGACAAGCTTGCTGTAGCTGAGAGAACTTAGAAATCTNCAAGTGAGTACTATACAATGACGATTTATATTTCACGTATATTTATCGACTCGTCACATGACTATTTCTTTGAATTGTCAATATGTCAGCTCAAGTCCATACTAAGTTGCCAATGTCGATGGAAGAGGAGGACTAGATATACGTTCGTGGATTATCTATTCCAACAATTAAAGATGATCCATTGTCTGAGTCATTGACTTTTTCGTGTTGCAAAAAATTAATTTTTAATCTTATTTGTGTAGGAACACCGTCCAGTGGATCGATTATCACCTCTACAAAGGAGATCACCTTCACCGAGAAGATCCCTATATCCCACACGCAGACACTTTTCCCATCGA